CTCACAGAGGGAAAACTTGGTTGTAATGCTAAATTCCTTTCTTAAAGAAAAAATGAAGTTTTATCCATAGGGGACTCATGGTATTCACAGCACAACTTTTGCTTAGGTTTGTCAGCTGTAAAGAGATCCTTTACTGTCGTTTGTGAATTCTTACATTTAGCATTGTAAGAACAATTTTACTGTTCGATGGATTTTAGTATAGTCGCAGAATTATACAACCCTCATCACAATCAATATTAACTTTAATCAACCCAGAGTAAATGCCATACCTGTTAGTAATTATTCCCTAGTTCTCAGCAGTCATAAGTAATTACTGACATACTATCTACCTGTGTTGAGTTACCTTTTCTCTGTAGTTCATATAACTGTAGTTATACTTATTTGTGACCTTTTATTTGTGTAATCTTTTATCTTTTATAGATCATCTGTATTTGTGATCTTTTATTATTATTTTTTCACCTAGCATAATATTAAGGTTGATTCGTGTGGCAGTTTGTATGAGTACTTCTTTTTACTGAGACATTGTATTTCATTGTGTAGATACACTACCCTTATCACGTCATTATCCCCTTAAAGGTTGCACATTAGGTTGTTATGATGATGCGGCTACTTTAAGTAATACTGCTACCAGCATGGACTGCGAATTTCTCTGTGGGTGTACATTTTCATTTCTTGTAACCTGGGCTTCATATTTTGATGAACAGCCAGGCTTTCCCAACCCTACCACTGATTTTTTTCATCGTTTCATCATTTAAGTGCCATAAGGAGAATATGAGGATTCGAACCTTTCACATCCTTGTCAACACTTAGGATGCCTTTTTGAGTGTAGCTTTCTGAGTAGGTATGAAGTGGTATCTAATGGTGGCTTGGGTTTGTCTATCTTCTTGGAAAAACCCTATTTAGATCCGCTGGCTTTTTTCTTTTTTTTTTTAAGTAGGGAATAGCCTTCTTCTTGATTTCTGGTAGCTTTTTATGTATTCTGAATAGAAGTCCCTTATCAAATATGTGATTTGCCAGATTTTCTCCCAGTTTACAGGTTGCTTTTTAATTTTCTTAATTAAGAAAATTATTCTTTGAAAGATAAATAGTTTTCATGTTTGTCAGTCTGCTTTTATTTGCTTTTATTGTTGCTATTGCTTGTATATCTGGTGTCACATCTAAGAACCATTGCCTGATCTACGATCATGACTATCTAAGATATACAATATCTAAGATATACTTACTGTTTTCTTCAAAGAGATTCATAGTTTTAGCTCTTGCACTTAAGTCTGATTTATTTTGATGTAATTTTACATGTGACACGAGGCAGAAGTCCAGTTTCATTCTTGAGCATGTGGATGTCCAGTTCTTGCAGAGACGTGTGAGTCTCTTCTGTTGGACTGTCCTGGGCTCCTGTGGGAGATCACGCGTCGGCAGGGGGTGCAGAGACCCTGCCGCTGGCTCCCCCGTGACGCTTTGTCTTGATTACTGTAGCTCTGTGTTTAGTTGGAAATCAAGAGGTGTGAGTCTTCCATCTTTCCCACTGTTGTTTTCAGTACCCTTTAGCTACTTGAATTTCTGTCATTACCATCTCAATTTCTGCAAGAGAAGTATCTGGGATTTTGATAAGGACTGCAGTGAATCCGGTCACTTTGGAAGTTGACAGCATTAACAGTGAGTCTACTCTGTGAGCATGGAGTGTCACTCCCTTTACTAGGCTTTCTCTGATTTCTTTCAGTCATGCTTTATAGTTTCCAGATACAAGTTTTGTATTACTGTTGTTAAATTTATCCCTAAATATTTTTTGATATAACTGTAAATGAAGTAATGGTCTTAACTTCATTTTTGTCTTGTTCATTGTTTACAGAAATACAGTGGATTTTTGTCTACTAATTTTGTACCCTATAGTTACACTGGACGTATAAGCTTTAGTAATGTTTTAGTAGACTTGCTTGGCTTTTCTATAGAAAGGGCATCCCATCTTCCAGCAGAGGCAGCTTCTCTTCCCCGTCTGGGTGCCGTTGTCTCCTGAGCGCCTGCTCAGCGTCCCCAGCGCAGCGTTTCACAGGTGTGGCGAGACAAGCGTCCGTGCCTTGACCTTGGGCTTACAGGGGAAGCACTGAGCTGCTCTTAAGTGTGCCGCTTGCCTGGGTTTTTCACAGATGCCTACTCGAGGGCCAAGTTCCCTTTTTATTTCCAGCTTGTTCAGTGTTTCATCGTGGAGCACTGTTGAATGTGGTCTGACGCTTGTCCATGCGTAATGAGGTGGCTGTGGGCTTTGTTCTTTATGCTATGAAATGTTGTTATGTAACTTTGATTAATTTTTTTTTTTTCAGGTATTAAACTTGCCTTCCATTCCTGGAGTAAATCCCATTTGGTGCTGGTGTAATATTTTGCTGGATTCAGTTTGCCAATATTTTGTTGAGAATTTTTGGGTCATAAGACAGCGACCTATAGTTTTCTTGTGATGTCTTTGGTTTTGTAATCAAAGTAGTGTTGACTTCATAGACCGAGTTGGGTTACTTTCTTCTGCCTTTTGGAGCAGTTTGTGAAGAACTAGTAGTCTTATTAAAACATTTGGTAAAATTCACCAAAATCATCTGGTTTAGGCTTTTCTTTGTGGGTGGTTTCTAGAGTACTAATTCATTTTCCTGTTTTTCATGCTCATTCATAACACATCTATTCACGTTTCCTATTTCCTCTTAGTCAGTTTCAGTGATTTGTATCTCCCGGGCAGTTTGTATCTTGCAGGAATCTGTTCATTTGATCTCAGCCTGATAATTTGTTAGTATACAATTGTCTGTAGAATTCTTTATAATCCTTTGTATTTCTCAGGGTCAGAAATCTTCATAGATTTCTAACCAAGAAATAGTTACTTCAATCTTACAAAGACATTTACTTTTAAATTTGGAACCTTTCTAGGGATAGGAAATACCAAGAGACACTAATAACAAAGCATTACTGAGCCCTCATTGCTAATTGCTAATAGCAGATACACAACACCAGCATTAATTCCTCTCTGGCACAGAACATTGAAACAGCCTTTGGGGATAAAATAAACAATGTTAGTAGTAGGGGTAGGCTTTTGCTGTTTGATACTGCCCAAAAGAGAGAGCTCTGGGTTAAGAAATTTCCTTCCTTAGCATCCTTTTGCACTTTGAGCAAAAGCACTTGCCCTGATGGTCCAGCTTCCCACCTGAGCGTGAGACAGCGCACTGCCAGGTGTTCGTTCCATGGTCGAGTCTCAGCGGCTCTTTGGGAACTCAATTTGACCAGATCTCATGACAGTTAACTCCAAAGGAATGACCACCTTCTTGATGATGCATTTCTCTCTCATTTTATGGATCTCTAAAGTGTGTCAAAAACAGACCTTTTCATTTTTTAGAGCATGAAGTCTTGAATGCAAGGGAATTTCAGGCTAAAGTAGTATAATATGTACTCAGGCAACTGATCGAAGCTCTAAGCATATACAAAAGTGTTTTCATTTATAAAAGGACAGAGAGTGAGATTTCTGTGTCTAGGTTCCCTTCCTTGACAAGTCTGTTCCCATTTGACCAAAATTGACTCTTAGTTTATAATTATTTTCATGAAAATTTTGCTCATCTCTAATGATAAAACATTTGGATTCCAATACAAAATTTGTTATAAAATCACTTTCACAAGGCTGCTTACTACTCAAAAGTAAATTAAGTGCTATGAGACATTAAATGGAAGTAAATACTCAATTTACAAGATTTTAAAACCCATTTGATTATTGCAGACAACCCATCTTGTATGTAGCCCTCTCTAGAAAATCTTCTATATTTAAAAGAGAAACTCACACTGTAACAAGAAAAAGGTCACTTTAAAAGAGATTTACCTGCATCCAGAACAAACGCCTGTGAAGCCAGTGTTAAGGAAATCCCGCCAGACCAGCTCCCTGGCTGACCGGAATCAGTGGGCGCCTCGCAGGGCCTGGGAGCTGGCCGCCACGGAAATGGTCACCGGGCAGGCTCCAAGGCTCGGTGCGGCCGAGCGTGGGGTCTGTGGCGTTTCCCACTCTGGGAAAGGGGGAAAGGACGACGCGTAAGAGACTTGGAAAGACCTCTCGGGTCGTGCGGAGGCAGGGAGCGGGCATTCTCTTTAGCGTCCCCTACTTTTTATTTTGAAAATATGTAAGCCTTTTTAAAAAAAAAGTTGAAGGAGTAAATTCACCAGCCTTTGAGCATACTTGCTTCCTCTCACCCCACACACACCCTCAAGCTCACATGAGAAGTCAGTCGCAATCACAGCTCTTTAAGTACCTCGACATCTCTGTCCTAAGAAGACGCTCTCCACCTGACCGCATGCATATGCTAAAAATTTTCAACTGATGCAATACTAATCTTTTTATATGTGTAACACATCTTTAATTCCTGTGTGTCATTTATCTTTTGTTCTTGATGTAGTTTTTACACAATGAAAAGTTAAAATGTTTATCTTGAATGTCTCATTTTCCTCTCAAGTTCTAGGTTTTGCTTTTTCTTAGGTTAATTTTCCCATCTTAAAATATTTTGAAATCTGTTTTATTTTCTCGTAGTACACAATTGTTTCTAGATTCATTAAATGTATATTTTTATAATTAATCAATTGTCAATCATTTTTAAGAATTTAGCCTTTATCATTATTTTATAGTAATGATACCGTCATCATATGTGATATCTTATATTGTCATCAACAGGAGAGCTTTTATAGAATTATTTTTCTACTCTGACCAGGTTTATATTTTATGGTTTTTGCTCTGAAGTTTGATGATGTGCTAGTTTACAAGTAGAGACATTCTTTGACCCAGGAATGCATTCCATTGGAGACATAGCACATTGGAGAAGCCAGAGGTAGGACCACATGAGGCATTGTTAATGGAGCTGTAAGGAAAAGTATGAAGAAATGTGTTAGAAAGACCTAGATATCCAGTAAGGGATGTGAGGAATAACTGACTATTCTGTGGCTGAGTCATAAATGAACACACATTCTGAATTTTTCTTTTTTTTTTCTTAGTACTGGATGAATGAATACACCTCATCCATTGGAATTGGAGTTTTCCATTCAGGAATTGAAGTATATGGCAGAGGTATGTGTTGTACTTTCTGTAAAAAAATTTACTTTCTGTAAATTTTTGTCTTCCAGAGGGTTGCAAAATCAAAACTACAACTCATCCTCTTTTTCACCATGTGAATGCTTTTATTGCAGAAAATATAAAAAAATCTCCTCCTATTCTTTATACTATATTTTGGGAAAATCCCCACCAAAGTCGAACGTACTTGGAAAGAAAGTAGAGTACACAAGTGAATGTTCATGTAGTTATCTTTCTTTCTAAATAGCATGTCTTAAGAAATATTTTCCTTTTGCGGTTACAACATCTGTTTTTCTCTAATACTGTTGACATTCCTAAGAAACTTCACTTTGCAAAGTAGTTTGATAAAACAGCCAGTTTGGTTGGAAAAGGGTTGGAGTGTTGAACATTTGCCTGCAAGTCTCCCTGTGGGCTTCTGAGTGAGCTTCAGTAAAGAAAGGTAGCATACACTGCAAGTGTAGTTATAAAGACAAAAAATACCGCTACACAAATCCAGCCTTTGATACATCTAGCATTTTACTCAACAACGATGGATGACCTTTGTCGCTCACTCAGACCTCTTTTTTATTATCCTTTATTGCGATTAACATAGCAGTCAAACCATTAAGCTGCTTTCAGTCGCTTTCTCCTTTGTTCTAATTCCCAGTCTTGATGCAAAATATTCTCCTACTCATCAGGCCGTTGCCTGTAGTGGTCTCTGCAGACTAGGTCGCGCCCCCGGCCAGTTTTTACCAGCGTTGCAGTGAGCGGTTTTGAATCAGAAACTCGCAGTCTGCTGCAGCTCAGCAGTCTGTGCGACCTCCGGGAGCGTGTTGCTGTGGTTTACCAGTCACTCCTGAAGGCAGCACGCCCACGTTAGCTCATGTCAAAAAGGGCTAATTTACTTACATGGGCATGATGGCTTATGATCTCCTTTTTCAGACCCCATACCAGCTGCCTGTGGGTGCAGTGTGCGGTGTTAAACGTCAGGCACAAAGGTCTGCTTTAGCTGCATTTTACTTGCTAGAGTGCACGTACCAAGGAGCCCCCACCCCTCAAATCCTCCAATGAGAGACTCCCGCTTCCAGCGCCAATGGCTGGAGTCCGCTCTGGGCGGGTTGCAGGGGCCGACGGGCTCCTCGTGGCGCGCTGGTGTGCGGCGCCTCCGCGTTCCGACTGGAGAGCGCCGCGAGCGGTGAGCCGCAGGTCCCTGCCTCGTGAGGCAGAACGGGCCCGGGGCGCCTTCTCCACTGACGTCCACGCCGCTGGAGTGAGCTGCCCCACGTGAGCAGGACAGGCCTGAGCCCAGTTGTTTGTGCCCGTCATTGCTTCCTTTCATAAAATGATTTCGGAGTAATTAGAAACATGGATCAAAACATGATCCAAGTGCAGTAAAATTAAAGCCAAAGGCATTCCTGAAAAGTGAATGTTTGTTGGCTAGTAAATGGGTCTGTCACTTTCCTTACTGTGACTGGAACAGCTAAAAATCCTAATATAAACTTCCATATCCAGCCTGAATTATCTACAATGTTTTACAAAATTCTGTCATTAAAAAACTTGTAGATATCAGAATAGAGTGCTAAACACTGTTATCTACATAGTTGCTTTTTCCCTGAAACTCCTGTTATCAAAAGTAAAATAATCAGGGCCCTCCCTGGTGGCGCAGCGGGTTACAGCACTGCACTGAGAAGCTAAAGCCGCTTCCGCATGAGTTCAGTCCCACCCCAGGGGTGACCACAGGGCGCGGCAGACCTCTCCTGACCGCCCGCTGCTCCCCTCAGCAGTGGACTTGTCCATCTGCCTGTTCTGCTCCCCGCTCTGTCTCTGGGGAAGCCTCTCTCTGCCCCTACACCTCTGGCCTGTCCCCCAGTTCTGTGTGCACAAATAAATCTTTTCTTAAAAAAAAAAAGTACAGCAAGCATAGTTTATTCTAAGATTATATTAAGATTATATTTATTATCTGTAACATGATGAGATTAATTTAAACATGCGTGGAATTCTTTGTACTAAGATTTGTCACTTAAGTGTCTAGTACCTCATAGGAGCATTGTAGGCAGAAGGTTCTGATCCTTCCTGATTTGAAGCCTTTCTTCGCTTGCATCCGGGGTGAGTGTGTGCAGCTGCTGAGCCGGGATGTGCGTCCCCTGTGGAGCGAGCGGGCGGGCGGGCCTGCTGGCCGGGTGGTGGCTGTGCTGAGTGTGTGTGTGAGTGGGGGGTTAACTTGGCATCTTGAATGAGGGGACTGAATAGTTCACATTTGCTAACGCTTACCTTACTTAAGCGGAGCGAGAGTCCTCATTCTGGGAGCCGCGTAAACTTGCTGTTAGGTGGTTTTTCCAGTGAAACTCAAGGTCGGTTGAGAGAGTAGAGAGCTGCGGCTGACCCGCGCATTCTGATGTCGCGGCTGCGCTCCTCGCCTCGTGTTGGATTCTCTTCTTGCCGGTGGGCGCCAAGCGAACATCGACGCCAGAGCCGCGTCCCAGTGTCTTTCACGGTTAGCGTCAGGTCTCTGTGCTGGCTGTTTATACAATAGCCAGACGAGGTGTTTGTGATAAGTTGCAAAATCTTTAGACTGTGTCGTTGTCATCATCATGTCTGAAAACTAAGCATTCTAGTTAAATTTTACGTAACGAATACTGAACATCAGAAGTGTTCTCTTTCAGAATTTGCTTATGGTGGCCATCCTTACCCCTTTTCTGGGATATTTGAGATTTCTCCAGGAAATGCTTCTGAACTAGGAGAAACATTTAAATTTAAGTAAGTAGAGAGAAAATTATTATTTCACTATCTTAAATTCCAAAATGTGCTTAGGTGTACAGATTGATTCTGTGGGCTAGAACGCAGAGTGTAAAATGTTTCTTCAACATTATTTTAGTTGCTGACACTTCCCAGTGGAATCTAAAGGTAGAGCTGTTCCGGTAAGATGCCTGATATAACCTGGTCTGCTGCTTTTACTCGGGATCCATGAAACTTATTCCGTCTACTTTAAAAACGCTTTTACTTTTATTCCTAAAAGTCTGTGTTACAAATATTAATAGCTAATGATGCTGCTTCCCTATTTGGGGGAGCTGAACTTTTAGTGACCTACCTGAAATTTTAAAACCTTGTTTTCATGAAATAGACACTGTGTATAAATATGAAATAACTAAACAGTTAGTAGCCAGGAAGCAGTCGTTAGGTCGGATGAATAACCTGAACCGTGTGATCCTGACTGCATGTGGGGCCTTCGAGTGGTAGACAGCACCGAAAGCTGACCGCTGACAGTCAGAGCTGTTCTTAATGTTGGTGTTTTGAGTGATACATACACCTTACTTTCAAAGGGAATTAAAGAAATGTACGTGCCTATAATTAATTTGCAAAGTCAAAAGCAGTGAAATGAGGGTATAACATTGAAATTCAGTATTGCATATATTTTAGTCACTACTGAGCGCATGGTTCTCTTAGCCTATCAGTGATTGGAAACATTTACACACTAGTGTTGTGAGGACATGTTGAATCTCGCTCTTAGGTCTGTTACTAGATAGATAAGAGTTTTTCAGGTATTTTCAACTTTCTGGGATATCTCATTATGTGTCTAACAAAAGTTACACTTTCTGTTGAGTAATGCCTGTTCATATCCAGAATGGTAGCTTTGTGTTTTTGTTTTTGTTTGTTTATTTTTTACTGGTTTGGGGTTATTTTTGTTTCATCAATTAGGTTTTGTTTGTTTTATATATTTTTTTAATGTGGTCATTTGAAGTTCACATCATTGTAGCATCATAGCAGGTAACTTCAAAGATTATTTCTAAGTGAGAAAAGTGCTGGCCATTTGAAGTAACTGCTAAGGCAGAAGTTGTAAAAAAACAACTGCTACTACATTTTACTATAATTTGTAAATTACTGTTTTTTAAGAAAACAATTATATTATTTATAAGTAGTATTCGTAAGAGTTTGTTACAGGAAAGTTAAAATAATTGCATTTACCTTTTAGCTTTAATTCACTAGCCTTGCTTTATTACATCAGTGATAATAGCCCTGGAAATAGGTCTTGGAGTATGGTTTTTTAACTCACACAGCTTTTTTGTTTTTCCCTCCTCTTTTTCCTTTTGTTCTTTAAGAGAAGCTGTTGTTTTAGGGAGCACTGATTTTCTGGAAGATGATGTAGAAAAAATTGTGGAAGAATTGGGAAAAGAATACAAAGGCAATGCCTATCACTTGATGCATAAAAACTGCAATCACTTTTCTTCAGCTTTATCAGAGGTAATTACATTTTCATGCCTAATAATTCTTGAAATAAATAACATTTACAAGTGTAATTGCTGCCCAATTATATTTAATTGATTCATTTTTCTTCTGATTTTTCCTGTTTTAAATTCTGTATTATATTTCTATATCTTGTATGAATGAACTTTCTAAAGTGAGTAACTATAACCCTAACACGTTTTAAATTATAATTCTGTTCATGACTTTGCAGTAGGTGGAGAGAATACAAATAATTCTCTTTTTATTCTAAATCATTGTATAAAAGCCTGAAACTTATATTTTAAAAAAAGTGCCTCAGTGACTTCTGCTTCTTGCCCCTAACATTTTTCTTTTCCTAAAATTCCCTTTGCCAATTTGAATTTTATCCTGACTTTTAAATTATTAATGAGTAATTTATTTATCTTGAAATTTTATTCTACAATTTTAGGACATAGGCAACTAATTTGCATTCCCAGTTCTTGAATCCCAAGCAGAAGACAACACTAGGTTGAAATTGTAAGAGACCTTTAGAAAGGAAATGGAGAGAAGAAATCAAAGTTTTGTAAAGTGAGGACTAGAGAACCAAGTAGCACTTTCAAGAGCTTCCCAATTCCCTGGGTCTCGGCAGGTGGTTGCACTGGTAGCATCAGGGCCACAGAGAGTGAAGGAAGTGGGGGGAAGGACGAGACACTGCTCGGGAGCCCTGTGCAGTGGCGCGAGCTGCCCGACCCTCCTAGCCTGCCTCGGGCACCCCCAAGACAGCAGGCGCGGCAGGCCAGCGCTTCCCGAAGCAGGCTTTGAGGGCCAGCAGCACGCGCGTTACGTCAGCATCTGAGAGATGAGCTGTGTCCCCCGCAGACACACCGAGGCAGAGTATTTGACATGACCCAGACCACCCGGCTGAACATAAAAATCAGAGAAACACCCTCAGTGTGGTAGGTGCGTTGATGCCGTCGGGACGGTCTCGTCAGGTCTCAAGACGCAGCAGGTGGGTGGTTCTGGGCTTCCTGAGCCTGGAGGTTAGTTGGTGGGGACGCGCTTAGAAGCCTCCGATGTTAACATTTCAGCTGTTTTACTTTGTAACGCTGAAGGTCTGAATTCTTTAACGTAAGTACTATGTTAAAGTATCTGAAAAGCAACAGCATTCATTTCTTAATATTATCCAGGTATACAACGTTGAAATTTCCCTGGTTGCTGCAATCTGTTTGAATTAGGATCTCAGTAAAGACTGTAAATTTAGTTTACCTCATGCCCAGTCCTCATGGGGATGAACTGAGAGACGCTGGATTCTTCCCCTTCATTAACAGTCTTCAGAAAAGTAAATGAAATATGTGCCAGGTCCTACGAGCTTTCTTAGCAGATCACCTGGAGGGAGTCTCAGCCTTAGGAGAGGCCCCAGCGTGTGGGGGCGGCAGGCGTGTGCGTGTGTGAGTGAGAGTGACAGAGAGAGAGAGAGATGGGTTTGCCCCCTCCCCAAACTGTGAGACACATGGTACGTTTCAGTTGCGTGCAGTTACTGTCTGTCCCGCCGGGTCAACAGGAGCCTCCCCAGTCACCTCCTGACTTGGGTTGTGCCCCAGTGCCTAATAATCTGCCATCTTGTTTCCTGGGAGGGCAGAATCTTCTAGATGAGGTATATATTTCCTTCAATAAAAAGTGCCTGTTCATCGCTGCTGATTGACAGCAATGTTGCGATGGCTTCTATATCCCCCGTGCACAGATACAGATCCTGCACAGCTTGTCAGTACATTTCTGCTTCACACTCGAGCTATAAGGTTTTCACTGAACCACATCCCAGGTAGAAAGTCCAGCCCACAGTGATATGATACGAGTGCTGGTTTCTTTTACCCACCTGTACCTGAGCCAGCCGTGGGATAGCAGCATCTGCACTGCTGCCCACACGCGATGCTGAAAGCTGAAGGCTTTTTGCAGTTTGTCTGTGGAAAGTGCGTGGCGAGGCTGCGGTCACATTCAGCAGTTAGCTGGGCTCATTCTGCCGAGGGACATGTCCTCCCAGGGCGCACACAGGGGCCTTTGCTTCACTTCGGGACCCCAGGGCAGCGCAGAGGACATAGGTGACCATACCCAGGCCTCGAGGGAGAATCACTCGGAGCTAGTGTCCTTCCCGCGTCTGTCTGTCCACCCTGCGGGCGAGGTGTGCCCCCCCCCCACTCTCGGGGCACCCTGGAGTTCTTCAAGTGGCAGTGCAGACAGAGATCCCGCCTGTCTTTCATCATGTGGTTGTCCTAAAATTTCTTCAACCATTTTCCCATTGGTGACATTCTGGGTGGTTTTTAAAACACATACCTCTATCCATACTTTTGTCACTTTGTCTCTGGGGTAGATTTCTAAAAAGGGGATTGCTGGGTTGAAGCTTAAATGCAAAGTAACTTTGCCACATAAACCAAATATATTTTGACCACCACCTATAGTAAAGAATACACTTTGCGTCAAGACCCTCGGTACACGCAAATCTGCATAGAACTGGAACAAGTGTCTGGTTCCTGCTCTCCGTAGCCTGCCACAGGACGCTAAGTGGCCCAAGGAGCCTCGACCCAACGTTTAGAAGACGTTGGCCTGTCTGAGGGCTGGTGCTTTCCGTGAAGGGGCCATAGAGTGAGTACTTCAGTCTCGTGGCCTGTTCATGAGCTTGGCTCTGGTGCTACCCTGCAGTCCAGGAGCCGTGAGTCATAAGTACGTGGGCTTGGCTGTACTCCCCTATAGTTGTATCTGCAAAAGTAGGTGACTGCAGCTTATAGAAGTTTGTTTGTGTCTACTGGAGCCATACTCCCAGGGACTGTGAGGAGGCCAGCTCCCATAGAACATGGGGCTGTATAGAAGATGCTAGATCACTCAGTAAAGCCAGGACACGGGGGAGAGTGGAGGTAACAGCTGTGGACTGGTCAGTGGTGGCCAGAACAGTCCCGGCCACCACCTCTGTGGTTGGCCCTGAAGTGAAGAGACACCCTGATGTCTTGGGTGAAAGACACAGCACGCGCTACCTCTTTCTCTGCTAGGCTGGTGGGGATGGTGTCTAGAGCGGGTGCTCGGCTTCCTCCCGGGTCTGGGCCAGGTGACACTGCAGACATTCCGAGGGCCGCCGGCTCGGTCTGAGCGCTCGACCAGCTCGCCAGAGCCGCCC